ATTTAAAAAAAAATAACAGGATTAAACAAGAATTAAGCTTGAATGTTAAATGTAAGTCCTTTGCAAAAATGACTACAAGCGCTCCCACTGATTGTAAATATTTTCCTTATCAAAGCATCAAATAGTAATATTTACAATTTTCATTGAATTTACAGTTCATAGTCTTGCAATTTACTCTTGATCCACAGGTTACTTAGAATGTAAATATTTCAAATAGATAGGTTTGTCTTAATTATTGTTACTAATTTCAGTATTAATTTGCTTTAAGTGGATTTCAGGTTTAATTTTGAATACTTGCTTAACAGCCTAAGGTGGAGACACTATAAACTCTGTAGCTATGACTATAGTATTTTAGGACGTCAAAACTACTATCCAAATCTTTCAGTTTTACTACTTTGCTTGTTTTATCAAAGTATGAAGATTTGCTCTCAGTGGAAAATCAGGGGTTGGAGACTGGTCTGGAGGTTAGGAGCATAAAAGATGCTGTAGGAGGCCTGAGTTCGGCTCCCAGCACCCATGCAGGGCGGCCACAGCCTGTGCTCCAGGCAGGCCTGACCCCTCTGGCCTCCTCAGTCACACACACCGACAGACACACAACTAAAAATAAAATCATTTAAAAAGTTACCTTCCTGATGAACTGAAGTGTTTATCATGGTAAAATTACTATCTTTATACAAATATTTTACACTTAACTTTAAAACCTATTATATTTTACCACATTAATATGGTTTGCCAGCCTACTTTTCTTAGTGCCCTCACAAAAAAAACATATTTTTGCAGTCTTTCAACTTTTCATATACCCTTGTTTTAGATGTATACGTTAGAATTTTTAAAAATCCGTATCAGTAATTTTAAAGCAGTTTTCAGTCCATTTATATATAATGAATTAATTAGTAAGTGTAAAAGTGCTATATTATCTCATTTTCCAACTACTTCATCTAGTCTATGTCGTTTCTACCCTTTGAGGAGGTATTATACTTTTGAAAACATCTATGACTCTCTCGTCTAGGCAGAAGTTATACATTATGTCCCTGCGCTCTTAATGCTGCCTTAAAATCCACAGCACATCTAAGTGAGCAACCATCAATTGCCACTTTCTCTCACTTCTCAGTAGCGCATGGCCCCTGGGGTATTAGTATTGGTAACTGCTAATGCTCATTTGGATTTACCCACGTTTGCCACTGCATAATCTTCCTTACTTGAAGGGCTAATCTACTAATTCTTTCATTTTCCTTCTGTTTAAATTATGTTTTATAATTTCTTTTAGCAGAGGTCCATCTATGGTGATAAATTACCTGAAAAGAACCCATCTTCCCCTCCCCTCATTCTTTAGAGATGCTTTCACTGGACATACAAGTCCACATGGGCGTGTGGACAAAAACACTGAACTGTCTCTTCTGGTCCCACTGATGCTGCTGACAGTCAGCCATGTTCCTTTCAAGTCATTCTGCCTTTCTCACCTTTAGACTGAAAGGCTTTGTTGATCAGTATGCTTCTGAACTTATTTTATTCTGACTGACATTTGTTAATGTTCTTGAATCAAGAGTCATTTGTCTGCTCAACATCATTTTTGCTCTGTTCTCTGTCACCATAGAGCATTTGAAATTGGAGGCAGTGAGATGGCTCCACCATGCAAAGCCTCAACACCCGAGTTCAGTCTCAGGAAATCCACATAAAGACGGTGAAACCCGACTATACACAAAGTTCTTCCCCGATCACTCACATACACACACACACACACACACACACACACACGAGATTTCCCCATGAAACACCATGTGTTATGGTTAATTTTATAAAACTGTGTTCATTTCTCAGTTTCTCTTTTAACCTGGCTATCACACAAATAATTGAGACTATTTTATATTTGTTTAGTTATAAGCCAGAAGAGTCTGGACAGATGTCATGCAGACCCTAAGAGCACACAGATGTCAGCCCAGACTACTATACCCAGCAAAACTCTCAATCATCATAGATGGAAAAAAGATATTAAACGACAAAAACAAATTTAAACAGTACCTACCAAAAAATCCAGATATTAGTAGGAAAAATATAACCCAAGAAAGCTAACTACATCCAGCATAACACAGGAAATAACCTCACTGCAGCAAAAGCACACAAACATACAACAACCAACATCAAAATAAATGGATCTAACGGTCACTGGTCATGAATCTCTCTCAATATTAATGGATTCATCAACTCTCCAATAAACAGACATAGACTAACAGAATGGATGCATAAACAACACCCAACATTCTGTTGCATACAAGACACACACCTAAGTCACAAAGATAGACATTACCTGAGGGTAAAGGCTGCAAGACGGCTTTCCAAGCAAATGAGACCAAGAGGCAAGCAGAAGTAGCTTTAAAATAGACTTTCAACCAAAATTAATCAAGAGATGGAGAAGGTCACTTCATACTCATTAAAAGAAAATTCCACCAAGAAGATAACTCAACTCTGAACATCAATGCCCCAAATACAAGGACACTCACATTTGTAAAGAAACATTAATAAAACAAACTACACATAGATCTGCACACGTTAATAGTAGGAGACTTCAACACCCCATTCTCAACAGAGGACAGGTCAACAAAACAGAAATTAAACAGAGAAACAATGACTCTAACTGACGTCATGAATCAAGTGGACCTAACAGACATCTACAGAACTTCTCACTGAAACACAAAAGAATTTACCTTCTCAGAACTTCATGGAACCTTCTCCAAAATAGACCATATAGTTGGTCACAAAGCAAGCCTCAGGAGACACAAGAAGATTGAAATAATCCCTTGTATCCTATCAGACCACCATGGACTAAAGCTGGACCTCAACAACAACAGAAATAGCAAAAAGCCTACACACACATGGAAACTGAACTCTACTCAATAACAGCTGGGTCAGGGAAGAAATAAAAAAAGAAATTAAAGACTTCCTAGCATTCAATGAAAATGAAGGCACAACACACCCATACTATGGGACACAATGAAAGCAGTGCTAAGAGGAAAGTTCATAGCACTAAGTGCCTTCAAGAAGAAATTTGAAACCTCTTGAACAAGCAACTTAGCAGCTCATCTGAAAGCCCTAGAAAAAAAGAAGCAGGCACACCCAAGAGAAGTAAATGGCTGGAAATAATCAAACTCAGAGCTGAAACCAATAAACTAGAAACAAAGAGAACAATTCAAAGAATCAATAAAATCAAGAGCTGTTCTTTGAGAAAATCAAAAAGATAGACAAACCCTTAGCCAAACTAAGTAAAAGGCAGAGGGACATGGTCCAAATCAACAAAATAAAAAATGAAAAGGGGGATGTAGCTACAGACACTGAGGAAATTCAAGTAATCATTAGGTCTTACTTCAAAAGCATATACACCATAAAGACAATACTTCTTACTCATGGGGTTTCTTTTAAAAAAAAAAATGAGCATTTTTATGTTTTTACTGAACTCAGTGTGAAAACTCAAGAGGGAAACTCTCAGAGACGCTCTTGATGCTAGGATTACAGGCTCTCGGAGCTGCAAGATGTATCAGTACTGAGGAACAAGTATCACATGTGTTGTCTGGAGCTGGACATGGGGCACCTGTCTGTAACCTGGGAATCAGGAGGCTCGAGCAGGAAGGTCATAGTTCACAGCTAGAGTGAGCCATACTGTTGAGACCCTATGCCAAACAATTAAACGTGATCAAAGAAAAACCAGATATGTCTTACGCATGCTCAGTACTGGAGGGCAGGCAGGGCTAGCAGGGTGCGTGCAGTGTAAGGTTACAGAAGGCAGTTACACACAGAGACACAGGGCAAGTCCGCACTTGGCAGCACTCTTACGGAAAGTGTTTTTGAGTTCTGTACTTTAGGCTCCTCTTGTCTTGCTGTACTCTGGAGCCACAGAGTATGCATGTTTAATTACATGTTAAAACTGATATCCATATGTGCCATGAGGTGTCAGGTGATGTCTCTCTATTTTCTCATTAACGCATCTATGGTCTGAAAAGTAACAGATCTTTCAACTGCAATGCCTTTGGTTTATCTTTTATTTATTTTATTTATTTGTTGGTTTTTGAGAGGCTCTCATGTAGCTTGGGCTGGCCTCAAACTCGCTACTAGCTAAAAATGATCTCGACTTCCTGATCCTCCACCTTTAACCTCCTACATGACAGGGTTTCTCTGTGTAGCCCTGGCTGGGATGAAGGGTGTGCGCCACCCCCGCTGAGCTCCATATTATTTCTAACCAAAGTGTTGTATATATTGCTCCAATAGGATTTTACATCTCCATGTAGCTAATGTACATTACAATTTCTTTAAGAAGCTGGGTGAGTGGCACACACCTGTAATCCAGCACTCGGGGAGGCAGAGGCAGGTGGATCTCTGTGAGTTCAAGGCCAGCCTAGTCTGCAAAGTGAGTCCAGGACAGCCACAGCTACACAGAGTAACCCTGTCTTGAAAAATCAAAAAAGAAAAAAAACTTCTTTATGAGAGGTAAATTCTAATACAAGTAAAAGTAACGATATTGGAATTCTTGGACAAAGCATTTCTTTGTATGTGAAGGCCAGAGGACACCTCGGGTGTGTCTTCAGCCACCATACACGCTTTTTATTCTTTTGGAAAGAGAATGTCTGACTGCACACCCTGGCTGGCCGTGAGTTCAGAGACCCACTCGCCTCTGTGTCCGCAGCGCTGGGACGAATGGTGTGTGCGGCCATACTAGGTTAATGTCTTCCCGGGTGGTTTAAGACAGAGCTTCGCCCCCGGGCCAGGCCGGCTGGCCAGCAAGCCCCAGTGCTGGGATTACAAACATGCCACCACACCCAGCGTGTGCACACGCTCAAGCTCTCAGGCTAGCACAACAGTGATTTGCTAAATGAACACACTTCCAGCCCAACATTTTACTTTTAAATCACCAAAATGACTTTTAAAAACTGTACAACAGTTTTTATTAATTGGCATTAAACTGTATGAAAGAGTAAACACTGCTGCATGTTTTATTCAGGACACAATCTTACCTTAGGAGAAGTAGAGAGGTCTCTCCCTGCAGAAACAACCGTGGGTTCAGTTACTCCAGTCTTTGGTGCAAGGGCTGGTGGAGCTGGAGCCTTTCTTTTCAGTCTCCGTTCCATTTCCCCTTCTTGAACTGCACTGACCAAATTATTTGGAGAAGTTGGCTTAGGCTCATAAAAAGGATTTGATCTAAACGAAAGAAAAATTATAATTAAATGTCTCTCAGAAAATAGAGACATTTTGTTTCCATATAAAGCAATAAAAAAATTATTCTGAAAACTGCCTTCTCAAATAAACCCAAAGCAATGAAACCTAGAATTCTAAAATAATGACTTTTATCTTCTGGCCCATTTCAATCCAGATTAGAAGAGATTTCTCTGTCTTAAAAAGCCCTGAAAAATAAGATCACATTCAATTTAAATGACTCTAGGCAGCTAAGGAAAGTGATGTTTAAAGACAGGGACTGCTTATTTTTGGCATCTAAACAAAAAGTGAAAGAATAGAAATGTGAGGTTTTTGTTGTGTTTCATGCTGTGCTCTCATATTGATTTTACAGTAGCTCCACAAGCCTATAACCCAACAACAGCAGATGTGGGCTCCCTTTCTCCCACATCCTCACCAGCAAATGTCGCCTGATTATTTAATAAGAGCCATCTGAAAGGGGGGGGGGTTAAAGAGACTCCCTAAACAATTTTAATTTTCATTTCCTCAATGGCTATGTTGAACATTTTAAAAAGTGTCTATTAGTGATTAATATTTCTCCTTTGAGAACAGTCTATTCAGTTCTGTGGCTCAGGGACTGGGTTGCTTTCTTAGTTATTTTAGTTTTATATAAATTTTAGCTATTAAGTCGCCAAAGATGAAAGCTGGCAAGAATTCTCTTCCAGCTGTAGGTTTGCTTCTCCTTTGCCATGCCGAGGTTCCGTCTGGCTTGGGTTTGCACGGATCTTGCACATGCTGAGAGCCTCTGAGTGGCTATGTGATGTGCGCAGCAGCTCTGATGTGTCTGGAAACAGTTCCCTTGAAATCCTCTACCACCTCCAACTCTTACACTCTTTCTGCCTCTTCTTCCACACAAAGCCCCCAGCCTTGCTGGAAGATAAAGACCTCACATTTAGTGTGGAGAGAAACTGATAGCTGCCAAGAGGGTGAAACTTAGTTTTCTTCAAAGGCTGGACGAGCTTGTGAAAGTCATGGGACAACTGAGAGGAGAATGTGTTCTACTTCCAACATGTGACCCGGGGTCAAACTCAGGTCATCAGGCTTGGGGGCCAGGACCTTTACCTACAGAATTGTCTCACTAGCCCAGGTCGTGCTTTTGAGGGGGACTGCAACAAAATTTTAGACTGCTTTTAATAGAACATCATTTTTTACAATATTAACTCTCCCAGAAAGGGAATGTGTTCAGTCTTCCCATCTTCTAGTGTCTTCCTCAAGTTTCCAGTGCAGTGTTTTCAAGTTTGCATACTTCCCTCAGTAAGTTATTTCAAGGTTGTTTTTTTGGTTTTGGAGAATATTAAAATGGAGTTGTTTCCTTAATTTCTCATCATCTCTATCATTGCTACAGAGGAAGGCTGCTTATTTTTCTATGGGAAATATATTCTGGCACTTTGCTGGCTGTGTTTTCATTTTCATGTGATTCTAGAAACACTTCAAACTCTTTTTCCCCCCAATGACCACAAGTCAGTATCCAATAGTATACTGTTTAGTCTCCACAAATTTGTGTATTTTCTGTTGTTTCTCCTACTGGTGAATTCTATCTTTATCCTTCTAGTGTCCTCTGCAGAGCTGGCTAGTAGTTACAGTAGCTTTAACTATTTTTGTCATATAAAGTTTTTCCTTCTTCAATTTATGAGAGTTTTGTGGGATATAAAAGTACAGATTGACTGATACGATTCTAAGAACTTTGAAATGCACCCTTCCATATCCTTTTGGATTTTAGAGGTTCTATTAAACTCAGCTGTCAACACTCCACAGCGGTCACTGGGCTACTGAGCAGGTGCGACTTTTCTCATTCACACACCTCACTCCACTCCTTCCACAACCAGCTCTGACAACCTGAATGGCTGAAACTGAGACAGGTAAGTTGAAACTGAAGAAGACAGAAATGCAGGAGAAAAATGCTTTGCCTTCAAAAGAAGAAGCAAGTTGGTGAACCATGAAGCAAGCACCATCAATACACACTGTACATTTCATGAGCATTGTCTTATTACTTTACTCATTTTGAGTGTTTCGTAACTTTTATTGTAGACAGAGAAAGAGACAGACAGACAGACAGACAGACTCTGGGCCTACCCTGGGCCTTCGTAACCTCAAAGCCCACCACCAGTGACACCCTTCCCCAACAAAGCCACAGCTCCTAATCCTTCCCAAACAGCTCCAGCAACTAACTAGAAACCATGCATTCAAACATAAGCCTATGGGGAACACTGTTGCAAAACACCACAACTCTGTAGGTTGAAAGGGCTGTGCTGCCTTTTCATATCAAAGCATCAGCACGGCAGAGAATGAACATTGGTCTTCACCTCCCACCTGCCAGTCACAGAAGGAACAAAATGTGCATGCTCAAGGAAAATGCTGAAATCTAGATTAGAACTCAAGGCAACTCACCGTCTCCTGCAGCTGGAAAAATGCAGGTCAGTGAGAGTACTTCTGTTTTGTTCAAATGATTTTAATTGGCGAATGCACAAGTTTTAAAAATGGAAAAAAAACCAGCTGTTGTTCTGATGGGTCTGACTTTGTATGTCACTCCCCTTTCCTGTCAATGCACTCTCAGTTTGAGTATTTCCTGTTTTGGATATAATAGGATGTGGAGAGTTTCTCTTCTGGTATTGTTTATTTTGTGTTCTACTCGCAGAGGCATCTCTTTTCCTAGATTTAGGGAATTTCCTTCTAAGATTTTACTGAAACTCCTTTTAATGCCTTTGCTGTGAAATTCCTCTACTGCGGTCATAATTCATAAATTTTTCTTTTTAGTATTGCAAAGATCTTGTATATTCGACTGACACATTTTATTAAATGTATTATTGTGCATATGGGGAGGCAAAAGAGTTTGTCTATTTTGGTACTCTCTGTATCACTGAGCAGAAAATAATTTTTACCTTTGTATTATGCACTTGAATAATAGGTGAGTGATACCATTAAACTTTCTGTCCATTGAAAAACAGTAAATAAGTAGAAAAATAAAAACAAATTTAAATGACATTATTTATTGTCTTAAATTGTAGAAAGATTAGCAATGTTGGTTAGATCCAAAAAGGATTAAGTAAAATATACTGAAAATCAAAAAGGGTATAATAAAATCTATAGTCTTTTTCTCTTGAAAATGTTTCACTGGAAAGCAATGTAAATTAATTAAAATGGCTATATGTAGATGAAAAAAATTCAATGAGGGGCTTCCTTGAAAAAATTAAAATGACACACATCATACCAGAAATGACTGCATATGGATTCTTAAAAGGAACCAGAAACAATGACAAAAACAAATTTCAATAATACCTACACACAAATCCAGCATTACAGAAGACACTAGAAGGGAAAATACAACCCAAGAAAACTAGCTACTTTCAAGAAAACACAGGAAATAATTAACCTCACTACAGTAAAACAAAAAGCAACTAAGCACACAACCTTATGACCACAGCCAACATCAAAATCACAGGATCTAACAACCACTGGTCATTAATCTCTCTCAACATCAATGGACTCAATTCTCCAATAAAAAGACACAGACTAACAGAATGGATGCGTAAACAAGACCCAGCAATCTGTTGCATACAAGAAACACACCTAAGTCACAAAGATAGACATTACCTGAGGGTAAAGGGTTGGAAGACGGCTTTCCAAGCAAATGGACCCAAGAAGCAAGCAGGAGTAGCCATTCTAGTATCTGATAAAATAGACTTTCAACCAAAATTAATCAAAAGAGATGGGGAAGGACACTTCATACTCATCAAGGGAAAATTCCACCAGAAAGACATCACAATCCTGAACATCTATGCCCCAAATACAAGGGCACCCACATTTGTAAAAGAAACATTGATAAAACTTAAACCACACATAGATCCCCACATATTAATAGTGGGAGACTTCAATACCCACTCTCAACAAAGGACAGGTCAACAAAACAGAAATTAAACAAAGAAACAATCTCTCTAACAGAGGTCATGAATCAAATGGACCTAACAGACATTTACAGAACCTTACACTCAAACACAAAAGAATTTACCTTCTTCTCAGCACCTCATGGAACCTTCCCCAAAATAGAACATATAGTAGGTCACAAAGGGAGCCTCAACAGATACAAGAAGATTGAAATAATCCCTTGTATCCTGTCTGATCACCATGGAATAAAGCTGGACCTCAAAAACAACAGAAATAGCAAAAAGCCTACACACACATAGAAACTGAATAACTTGCTACTAAATGACAGCTGGAACAGGGAAGAAATAAGAAAGAAATTAAAGTCGTCCTAGAACTTAATGAATATGAAGACACAACATACCCAAACTTGTGGGACACAATGAAAGCAGTGCTAAGAGGAAAGTTCATAGCACTAAGTGCCTTCAAGAAGAAATTTGAGACAGCTCATTCAAGCAACTTAATGGCTCACTTAAGAGCCCTAGAAAAAGAAGAAGCAGACACACCAAAGAGACTGGAAATAATCAACCGCAGGGCTGAGAACAATTAATTAGAAATGAATAAAACAATTCAAATAATCAATGAAACCAAGAGCTGGTTCTTTGAGAAAAACAAGATAAACAAACCCTTAGCCAAGCTAACTAAAAAGCAGAGAGACACCATCCAAATCAACAAAATCAGAAATGGAAAGGGGGACATAACTATAGACACTGTGGAAATCCAAACAATCATTAGGACTTGCTTCAAAAGTCTATATGCCGCAAAATTTGAAAATCTAAATGAAATGGACAATTTTCTTGACCAATTCTACTTACAAATGTTGAATCAGGACCAGGCAAATCAATTAAATAGTCCTATATCCCCCAAGGAAATAGAAGTGGTCATCGAAAGTCTCCCATCCAAAAAAAGCCTAGGACCAGATGGTTTCAGCACAGAATTCAACCAGACCTTCAAAGAAGAGCTAACTCCAGTTCTCTTCAAACTATTCCACAAAATAGAAACAGAAGGAACATTACCAAACTCATTCTATGAAGCCACAGTCACCTTGG